TTACTTAGTCAAAATAAAGATTAAAGACATCAAGATAGAGAAATCATGTACCTTTGCCAGAGAGCCCATTATCCGGTCGAAGTCTACGACCTGCAGATCAGGTATTTCAGTTCGTTCCTTACCAGGAACTTCCGGATGGGTCTCCGGCTTGTTCTCCTCCCTAATGGTTGCCGCACCGCCTGCAACCTTAGGTGGCTTGCCACCCTTCGATGCCGTAGAGGATTCCGGCGCTTTCTGCTGTTCTGAGCTTTCACTCAGTTTCTTCAGAACAGCAGGGGATTTGCCCTTAGTCGTTGGACGACCGGATTGGGCAGAAGTTTGTTTCTGGGGGGGATCCTTCCTAGCGGCTTTGGCAGCCGGAGCCTTCTCCAGATCATCTCCCTGCCTTTTGAGCATCTTGGAGAATGATCGAGGAATTCTCTTGACGGACTCCTGAAAAAGAAGCAAAATTCAGGTATACCCAACCGGTATATATATATATATATAAAAATGCAAACATAAAGTCAGGCGGTCTTACCCTGCCTTTCTTCGTATCTTTAGCCTCAACGGCTGCCTTTTTGGCAAGGGTCGCCTCCTTGCGCAGTTGCGCCGCAGATTTAGCATGAGTCTTATCCTGGTCAACCATCCTCAGGGCTTCTTCTGCAAAAATAAGAATTTAAAGTTAGAAAGAATTAATGCAATTTATAATAAAATGAAACAACAATTATTCCGGATGAGAAGTACTCTACCCCTGGGAAACATTGTACTCAGCCCGCAGGCGGACAAGAAGCACTCGTCCTTGAAGAAGTCCGGACGGGGGATCCAGTTCTTGGGAACAATTATGTGAGTCCTATCCCCCATGGGCTCAGTTGTGGTTTCAAAAAATCCCGGCTCCATGATCTGCTCCTGGGCTTTAGTAGATAGTGCCGGGAGAGGGCATTTACGCCCAAGAAGAGCCGACTCAGTATTGTACCGGCGCAGTGTCCGGTTGTGTCTTAGGGTTGGAGAGGAAATCAAATAGAACTTGTCCTTCCACCCGGACCACTTGGACACTTTGTCCAAAGTCATTAGATATTGGGGCAAGGTAGTCAGTGTATACCATGCCCCATGGTCGCCTGGGGCCTTGCTCAGGTAGTGCATATGAGCGAAGGCGGAAAAGCTGGGGTTCAAGTTTTGGAACTCGCAGGCGGCGATGTAACTTAATATGTTCACCCACGAATTAGGGGTGAGCTGCCAAACCCCCAGATCATACCCCTTGAGGATTTTCCTAATCCCGGGGTGGAGGGGGAACCGGAGGTCGGCTTCTATAACCGCCTCATAGCAGATGAAGTAATCATCTGCATGGTCAATGTCGTCCCCCCAAGCCATCACAGCATCAGCCAGAGGGACAATAACTTCCCAACCCCTTCCAAATGGATGTTTCTCTTTAAAGGCTCTGAACCCGCTGTTAAGAAGGGCAATGTTACTCGGCAGCATCCGGGTCCTTTTGGGGTTGGGATTGTCAGCAACTTTGGGCGGCTGCTGATAGTCAGCCGCAAAATCTCCCTGGTCAGAGCCGGAGGATTCCGCTCTTAATCCCTGGCCAACCTGAGCGTCGCCGGCTTCATTGGAGGAGGCGGCTCCTTCGCCGTCCACTTCTCTTACTCCAGAGCTCTCGGAGGTAGAGGGAGTCTCTTCATCAGATCCACTCTCCTCCCAATTCCTCTGTTCCCCATCCGGGAAAACCTCATCGGCTGGCACTCTCATGGCGCTGGCTTTTAGACCGCCTGGCCGTTTGTTTTGTTCTGGCCATTGTGTCCTGCACAGACACAGAGTGGGAGGAATTCGGAGATGAGCATATTGGTTCCGACAGTCCAAAAGAGGCACCCCCTGTTCTAGATTTAACCGTTCCGGGGGATCGGCTGAGTGTCCTAGGCAGTGCCGAGTGGGTGGATTGGGAACTCATTTGTATTTTCTATTTTCTAAAGAAAGCCGGGCATACAGGCGGAAAAAATGGTATGTAAATTGAAAGGGAGGAAAGCTAAAATGGTACAGGCGGTTACCTTGCTTTGACTCTGAAAAATCTGAAAACCGCTACAGCCGGTGAAGCGGGTGATGTACTGCTAGCGGGTAACTTTCTATTTATAGAAAGGAAAAAGGGGGGAAAATTTTGATTTGAAATTCCAAATTTTACCCGTTACTGTTCACCTATGAAGGTGGACACGTGTCACAGGCCCCACGTGACATTCACGTGCGACCTGTGAGGGGCAAATGTTTAGGGTATTTTTACCCTAGAAGCGTGGACCAGTGAGAGGTCGCCACGTGTCGAGCTCAGGATGGTCCATGTGGCTCAACATCCTCTTGACACTTGGGCGTCCTCAGATATGTTTCTGAAATGGCGGCTTTCAAAGGCCCAAACTATTAGGAGCGCCGTAAAACGGCGCAGCCCACTAAACTCTAGGTCAAGTGACCTAGGTAGGGGCACATTTTCCAACGACCCTATAAATAGGGAGATATTTCCCCATTTTGGGGACACATTCGATCATTTATTACACCCTCATTCTCTTACATCAGAGAAAGACCTGAGCTTGGAATCCGAGCAGATACCCACCTGAATTTCCGTTCTTTATTCCGTTTCAAGTTACTAACTTGATCGTCGGAGGCGGAGCTCCAACCACCCAGAGTCTATGTTATTTTGCAGGTACAGCTCAGCCGGATCAGACTTTGTGACGTAACTCTCCCAAGGGACAAAAACACCCAAAACAGTTGGGGTTCAGAAATTTTTGGGGGTTCAGAGGTTTTTGAAGGGCGTTCAATGGTTTGTGATTGGGGTTCAGAAGTTTTTATAGGGGGTTCAGAGGTTTTTGAAGGGTGTTTAGTGTTTTATGGTTGGGGTTCAAAAGTTTTTTTAGGGGGTTCAGAGGTTTTTCTAGGGTGTTCAGTGGTTTGTGGTTGTGGTTCAGAAGTTTTTGAGGGGGTTGAAAGGTTTTGTAGGGTGTTCAGAAGTTTTTGAAAGGTGTTCAGTGGTTTGTGGTTGGGGTTCAAAAGTTTTGTAGGGGGTTCAGAGGTTTTCGTAGGGTGTTCAGTGCTTTGTAATTGGGGTTCAGAAGTTTTTAACAATTGGTTTCTTCTTAGATACATCATCGAATTTCTTCTTTTTTTTTTTTGGTGTTCTGATGTTGAACATTTGACTAATTGTACAATTTAAACAAATTGCAAACTTAAATAATAAATTACTTAACATCTTTATCCTCTTCGGTAGGAGCAGATAATTTTGATTTTCAACCAAAAAAAAATTTAAAAAAATTTATTTTAGTCAAAAAGATAATTATATAGTAGAATATAGTTTCAATTTTACAATTTGTTGAATTATGTTAGCAAATTTATTTAACATAAATGTAGGAAAATAAAAAAAGTTAAGTATTGTTTATTTTTTTGAAGGTGTTTTTGTGTTTTTTTGTCATGGTACATTGCAGTTTGTAGAGAGGGAAAAATGGTGAGAGGAGAGAGAAAATACAAAAGAATTCATTGAGGAAAGTTTTTAATTTATGAGAGGATAGAGAAAATTTTTAAAATGAAACAAAAATAGATATGACATTTTTTTTTTAACTTAAATAAATTTGACAGTTGGAGAAAGAGGAACTATTATTATAAAAAAAAAAAAAAAAAAACCACTTCGTGGGCTTCTTTCGTTTCGGCTTCTTGTGTTGGGTGTGGATTGGACCAGGTACACCTATTTCTTTGTGCACCATGGTGCACATAATACTAATTGTTTCTAGTATATATATAGCAATGAGGGGATTTGGCAGATTTGGGCTATTGGGTATGGGCTTACTAATGTTATATGGGTTGAAGTTTATTATTATTATTATTATTATTATTATTATTATTATATATATATATATATATATATATATATATATATATATATATATATATATATATATATAATTCGGACTATTTGGACTTAAAAAATTTGAGTCCAAATCCAATCCAAAATTTAAAAAGTCCAATCCAAATAGCTTATTTGGATTGGATTTCGGACCGGAGTCTGAATAATGGACACCCCTACCGGGCACCCTAGACCCTATCTCTTGATATTTTGATTATTATGATGCCATATATGAGTATTATTTTTTGAATATATTCGATATTATTCTTTATAATCATAGATACTACGTATATATTTTATTTCTTCATATTTTGCAGTTAGACATACAATTGAATGATTGATAGTGTTTTTTGCAAATCATACAAGAAAACTACTCAAACATATTATATTAAGAATACAAATGAATTAGATCTAAGAAACAATTACAAAATACAAAAAACCAGTAGTAGATATGGCTTGTTTAATTTAGTAATTGACTGTTAGTTGTTGGATGCTGGCGGTTTCTCTTGATTGGTTTGATCAAGTGTTTATGTTGGCTTTTTTATGTATGTTGGTTGTTTGTTTGTCGTCAGCTTTTAACTAAAAATGTTTGGTAAAGCTTATTGTTAGTATTAAAATGTAAGCGCAAGTATAAAAGCCAATAATCACAAAAAACCATGTTTAATGGCTAGCTAATTTAGTATAATGGCTAGCTTTTTAGCCAACAAAAAAAACAATTAATCAAATATATATAGAATGTTTGACCACATTGAAAGCCAATAGCATAGAAGAAGCCAACTACCGAACAAGCTCATATTATATATTGTAGTGTTGGAAGTTACTTGACATTAAGAAAGTTCGTTCATTCTTCTACAGTCGTACAATCACCATTTCATTAAGAGGATGCCCCAGTTTCTCATGGTGAGAAACAAATTTTGTTTCTCACATGACATTTTCGTAAATAAACCAACAACTTTATTCAATTTTATTCAAATGTGGAGCCCACGATAATGAAAAATTTGTTGATTTATTCACGAAAATGTCATTATGAGAAACAGGGAATTTCCCTTTCATTAAGATGTTAACATGATGTACATTATAAATAAATTTTAATTGGATAAAAATTATCTGCTACACTTAAAATTTTATATTATAATTTAAGTAACACATTTATTTCAAAACAAAAATAAAACTCGTACTCATTATAATTATAGAAACAATGCAAATTCACAATACAAAACAACAATACATCAAATTTACTACGATAATCGTACTCATTATCTTCAATATTCACGCACTTTATTACTATCAACAACGAACAATTTTAACCTTAAAACCATGTTTCATTTGAAGTTTAAGGGAGACATCAGGAACAATTTGGTGTCCTTGGACAACTTCTATATCATACCTTTGAATTATGGCAGCTGCAACAATCTTTATTTGGGTTAAAGCCATGTCCTTTCCTTGACAAATCCTCGGCCCTGCCCCGAAAACAGAAAACTTGTACGATGGCTCGAACTTAATGTTTCCTCGTTCCGTTATCCATCTCTCGGGCTTAAACTCGTTACAATCATCTCCCCAAATTGATTTCAACCTTCCTTGTGCATACATGTTGAAGATGATTTGCATATTCGGTTTCACTTGATGACCACTTGGAAGTATATCCGATTCAATTGAATTCTTGTGGTTGAATGGAACTGAAGGATATAATCTTAATGTTTCACATATTGCACCATGAAGATATACTAGATCATTTTTGTGCTTAATAAACTTTTTTAAAAAAACCGTTGTTATTATTATTATTATTATCATTATCTTCGTCTCTGTCTACCATCATAACATTTAATTCCTCCCTAATCTTAGTGATAACGTGGGGGTTCTTGGTAAGTAGAAAAAATAACCAAGATAAAGCAACACTAGTTGTATCGCCTCCTGCTATGAAAAAATTTAAAAACGCATCCTTTAAAAACTCATCACCGTTACTACTATTTATTGGAGTTGTGTGATTTTCTACCTCATTCATATAAATTTTCAATAAGTCGTCGAATATTACCTCACTTTCTTCTTTAGGATTACCGAGTTTCCTTTCTTCTCTCTTCATAGCTATGATCTTGTTAGTGAAATCGTAAATCATTTGGCAATTTTTTTGGTATTTCTCTTCTCCTACACCCAACCATCTCATAAATTTCCACATAGATGTTGGCATAGCATGACGCCGAAAAATCACCTCTTCTACATCATTCACGGCTTGGAAGAGTGGAATAGGTGACAAATCGAGTGAGAGAAATTTAGGGTCATAGTCCAAGAGAATGTTACATACATTATCAAAAGTAAACCTTTTAAACGTATCATACAAGTCGATTTCAACACCATGCTTAGAGACATTATCGAGCAATGGGATGAGTCTACTTTCCATCTCTTCCCAAATTTTCTTCATAAAAATTGAATTGAATTTGGGATGGCCGAAGAAAGAATGAGCCAATCTTCGATGATACCGCCACAAACTAGAATCTGAGTTAAAGATCCCATCTCCAAGATATTCAAAAATGTCGTTAAATTTAGGACCTTTGACATAATTTCCGAAGCTCTTGCTAAGCACATGGTGAAAGTTGGAAGGATCAACGGTAAATATAAAGTTCATGTTGCTGAACCAAGGGCCCTTAAATACAAACGTTAGCTCTGATGATTTCTCCATAATTTCAATGAAAAATTCATTGATTCTGTGAAAATTTAGGAAGAGTGTAGGAAGCATCCCAACAAGAGGCCAATTAGTTGGGATACCATTTTTGTTGCGAAAAAAGCAGCAAAAAATAATTAGGGAAATGAGAAAAGTAATGACAAAGAAGTATGTCATTGTTTGCTAAGAAATTATAGTTCTTTGAAAGGTTTGGGGGGAGAGTGTAAATGGGCTTATAGTTCGCCTTTACGTGAAAGAGTTCTTTATATAGAGAAGTTTGTGAGAGTGAAGTATAGTTTTTTTTTTTTTTTTTTTTTTTTTTTTTTTTTTTTTTTTTGACGAAAGAGTGAAGTATAGCTTAAGCGGTTATAGCTTCCTTAAAAAAATATAGAGAAGTTTGTGCCTTACTTTTCCAAATTTAGTGCCTTACTTTCAAACACCATCATTTTTTAGTTCCTCATTTTCAAATTTAGAAATTTCACTCACATTATATATTAGTTCTATCTCTCAAAATATACATAAGGGTTCCCATTTATACTTGACTCATTTACTTTTCAAATGTTTTTATTTCTCATCATACCCTACTAAAATGTTTTTTTTTTCCACCTAAAACTCTGCGCACACCGAAACGGATGGAGTATATGCTATTCCCTTGTCTACCCTTTTAAAATATATATTGGTTTTTGTCCAAAAAAAAATAAAAAAATAAAAATTGGTTTGTATAATGTAGAAGTGTCAAATTAAAACTAACCCAACCAATTCAATCTGACTTGAAAATAATTCAATTGAATTTTGACTCATATAGACAAAGTTGTTTAGCATGATTCAACTTTGAAATAAACCTAATTTAAACCCACCGAACTCGACCGAATTACCCGAATTGAAACATCTACCATGACACTTTAGAAATTTGATAGAGTTACATTTTTTTCATATTATCTTAAATACAAGTCTAGGCCGCATGACGAAGAAAGTTCCATTCAAAAAATATATGGCAATAAGAGGGGTATATAACCGCCTAGTCTTATAAAACGTTTAACTCTCTCTTCTTTAAGGTAATACTTCAAAAAACACTCCCTCTCATACGTAAGTTCTTTAATTCATCACTTAAGATTTTTCATGAGGGTTATTAGAGTGCATTTCACACTTTTTCTCACATGAATCAATTGGTCCAGTGTATTAAGTCATTCTTGCCTCAAACCGTAGACCTGACACCGATATCATGATTGATACATATTTTCGTCGCATATGTCATCTAGAATGAGTTCGCTTCACAATGCAAGTTAAAGTTGGTTTTATCCCGAAAAAAAAAAATAAAAAATAATAAAAAAAATTTAAGGATGTCAGTACCCGCCCCATAACAACCCATGGGTCTTGATTTGGTGGATGATGAGGCGGGTGGATTTTAGATTGTACTCGCCCCATCCCCGACCCCCCCCCCCCTCACTTTGTACCCAACTATCCACCCCATTCCCACGTCCATATATTTTTAAAAATAAAATTATATACATTTTATAAAAAAGATTATGTAAAATAAAATAGTAAATATAATCTTTGTAATACACTTATTTATAAGCAAAAAAATTTATAATATTAACAATAATTTTTTCTTTTTATAATCTTTTTTAGTTATGTAGGATTGTGTATTTGAGAAGCGAGAATTAGGCAGGTCTTAGCTGGGGTCGTGAGGGTGGATATCCAAGTGGAGGTGGGGCAGGGATAATTTTTGAATTGTACCCGCCGGGGCGAAGATGGGGATGGGTATAAAAATTTTAGGTGGGAACGGGGATAGTAAGGCCAACATCCGCCCCACCCCATTGACATCCCTAATTATATTACAATAGTCTAGTAGCCCCAATAGCCTTAAAAAGTGTTTAGTTATCTTTACTTTTATCAATGAGAGACACTTATATGTATTGTTTTACAAGATTACATTCAACATATTCTTATTAGGAGTGAAAAAGTTAAGGCCTCGTCGGGCCTTAACATCATATCTCATGCCCAAACCCACAAACAAGTGTTGTAAGAGAAAATCTGGGACAAGCGTCTCCCGTTTAATGGTTTTGTCGGGACAAAGTGAATCTTGTGGGCTTTTTCCGTACTGAGTTCGGGTTTTACCTACTAACATGAATCGGGTTGGATCGTAGTTGATCACCTCTAATTCTAATGATAATATATACATATATTTTTAATGTAGATGAAAACTCAATTGGGATACTCTCACGGTTTAAAAAAAAAAAAACAAAAACAAAACATTGTTTGAAGTTTATAGATTAATTAGATTAGGTTTGGAAATATTAATTTCTCATATCAAATCTTGCTGGATACAGTATAAACGGATTATTTCCTCTAGTTCGGTCGATTTCATACCTATACACCTCTATTTGTAAGCATGTTGTGTGTATGAGCTCCACAAAAAATAGTGTGCGAATACAGGTTGTGCAATTAATCAAAATATACACTCAACAATAATATAATGCTGGCTACAATTGGTTTTTTTTTGAAGAAATCTATACTTATTATTATTATTATTATTATTATTAAATTTTTTTAGAGCAGATTTTATTATTATTATTATTATTATTATTATTATTTATTATTTATTATTATTATTATTATTATTATTATTATTATTATATATTAAAAAGCGTTAGAATTCTTACCATCTCATCTATTGATTAATAATGTTTTGATACCCGATTCATAAAAAATATATATGGATTGGAGATATGAACATTTAATGATTGCGATTCTTAAAAACAGTCGAGTCTATTATTTGCTAATTTAATAATGTTCATCAATGAGGTAATGCAAACAAGAAAGATTAACTATTGTAATAAACTAATTTTAGTTATTAAATTATTTTGATAATAATTATGTCTTTCTTTTCATTATATTAATTATAAATTATATACAAAAGACATGTTTAAATCTTTAATATATATAATTAGTCAATATAATAGTTGTTCCATAAATAATTTATTTAAAAGTTTGATAAAAACTATTATATAAATAATAAACAAATAGTGAATAAATGGAATAATAATAAAGAATGAACATATCTTTTATAATCGTAAGACACCTACAAGGTGTATTGTGATTATAAGATGGTCGTATTTAAAAATTTATATTGAGTTCAATTTCAACAAAAACTATCTCCTTATACTTTGTAGTTAGTTTTCAAACTATTTTTAGATAAAAGGAGTATAGCCATATAAATATCAAGACTATTGATCAAATCTCATTATCATGTTGATAAGCGTATTTTTTTAGATTTAGAATGAATTCAATTAAACCATTATTATTGTTACCAAGTGTTTTGTTACAAGGTTTGGGCCGAAAAACAATTACCTCTCGTACTGCACCAGGCAATGATTTCCACCTATTTGTTATCTAGCTAAATAAAATATGTCTAATGGTATTATTTGACCACCCAATAGTATTACCCAACATTTCCAACAAAATTTGTAAAATCTATTTAAATACGTAGTATTAAATTATTAATAGTGAAAGATCTAGTTTGTGTACACAAGAATAGCTACAAACTAATCGATCGTGAAAGATTATTAATAGCCTTCATATCTTTTGTTATCAAACCATTATCAATCACATGGATGGAAAAACTCTAAGGACATACGAAATAATTGATCAATTGAAAACTACAGTTTTTATTATACAATCGGTTGGGACGAAGAGAAGAGAGTAGTTGGAGGGAAAGCGAAGCACAGGGTGCAGTGGTTCATTAATTTCCTAATGTATAATGCTTCATTTAATTTGAACAAAAGTTATACCATTGATGCATTTAAAGGATTGAAAAAGGGTGTTGGATGATAGTCGGAATTGGCGACGGCCGCGCCTGGGTTGAGCTCTGTATTGAAATTATAAGTAAGAGATGAGAGAGAGGTAAGATTTCAATTCAATTATAAGACTGGAGTTACCTATGACTGATACTAAGAAATTTATTTTTGAAGTTACCTATGACTATGACACTAAGAAATTTATTTTATTTTTTTTGCGAAGTAACACCTAGCCATTGTTTTTGCTGTTTGACTCGGTTTTCAGGCATTGACCAGCACGTGTTTTGGCGGCAAATTCCCTCTTTCTTAATTTTCCCCTTCATTTTTCCCCGCCAATTGAAAGAACATTGTTGTACAAAAATAACCATATATACACATTTAATTATACTACCTTCGTTCATATTATATGTAATGATTATATATTTTTCCTTTCTACTTTATGTCAAACCGTTGCAAATAATATGAAACGGAGATAGTAGAAACAATAATGCAAATTCACAATATAAAACAACAATACATCAAATTCAATGATTCCATCTCAACAATCATGCACTTTGCCTGCGCTTTATTACTATTAACGTAGAATAATTTTAGCCTTAAAACAATGCTTCACATGAAGGTTAAAGCCACGTTCTTTTTCTTGGCAAATAATCCTCGGCCCTGCCCCGAAAACCAAAAACTTGTTCGAAGGCTTGATCTTAATGGTTCCTCGTTTTGTTATTCGTCTCTCAAACTTAGACTCGTTACAATCATCTCCCCAAATTGATTTTATCATTCCTTGGGCATTGTTGGAAGACCATCTTAATCAAAAGCTTAAGCTGAGATGGTTGAGATGGTTCACTAACAAGCATAAATGTCGAAGAAGACTTGCATAAATGTCCAATATAAATAAATTCTTGTGGTTGAATGGTACAAAAGGATCCATATTATATTAATGTTTCACATATAGCACCATGAAGATATACTAGCTCATATAATGTGCTTAGTAAACTTCCTTAAAAAAATGGCCATTATGATTATCATCGTCTCTTTCTACCATTATATATACTGTAGCATTTAATTCCTCTCTAATATTATTAGTGCTTTGTAAGAAGGTAAAAAACCAAGATAAAGCAACACTAGCTGTATCTTCTCATGCTATTAATTTTTTTTAAAAAAACGTGTTCTCTAAAAAAAAAAATTATCACAATTACTAAGGCCCGGTTCTTTAGAGCTGCTGCTGAGCCCTGCTCTGCTCTGCTCTACTCTGCTCAAATTAAATTTGCTCTGCTCTGCTCAAATTAAATCTGCTCTGCTCTACTTTGCTCAAAAGAAATCTGCTCTGCTCTACTCTGCTCAAATTAAATTTGCTATGCTCTGCTCAAATTAAATCTGCTCTGCTTTGCTCAAAAGAAATCTGCTCTGCTCTACTCTGCTCTATTTTCAAATAATAATTAATAATAACAATATTAATAATTAATATTCAATAACAATAATTAATATTGTATTGATGATAATAATTTATTATTCTGAATAATTATTAATTTTAATAATTATTAATATTAAAAATAATTTTAATAATTATTAATATTTATTAATCATAATAATAATTAATGGTAATAATTATCAATAATAATATTTAATAATTCAAAATATTAAGAATTAATATTTAAAATATTATTAATTAATAATTTCTAATAATTATAACAATTCTTTCAAAATAAATAAATAATAATATTAATAACAATTTCTTTTATAAATATTTGATATTAGAATCACAATGTGTAGAAACATTTTATGTGGATATTGATGGTTAGTTCATTAAGTTGAATTATTTTTCAAATCTTTCCATACAATTTAGGAATTAAAAAAAGAGAGGTTGTTTTCAAGTAGTACTTTGCAAATCATTATTATTTTTAGTGTTAAAAATATATGATTAAGACAAATTTATAAGTAAAATCATTATTACTCATTAAATCATTAATAATAATAACAATAATAATAGTATTAATAATAATGTTGAAATCTTCTCTGCTCGGCTCGGCTCTGCTCTGCTCTGTTATCCTGAAATCTGCTCTACTCTGCTCTGCTGACCCCTGCTCTGCTCTGCTATCCTGAAATCTGCTCTGCTCTGCTGACCCCTGCTCTACTCTGCCCAGAAGCTCAAAAGAACAGGGCCTAATATTTATTGGAGTTGTGGGTGATGTGGGATTTTTATATAATTCATATAAATTGTCAAATATTACCTCACTTTCTTCTTTAGGGTTGGGAGAGTGGAATAGGTGGCAAATCGAGTGAGAAATTTAGGGTCATAGTCCATAAGAATATGACGACATACATTATAATAACCAAACCTTTTAAACACATCTTGTAAGTCGATCTACTCTCTCATATACTTTCTCTGATAATGGTCCAATCTTACTTTCACTATGATAAAGTATTCATTCATTCACATTATTATATTACTCTCCTATAGCTTCACGCTCACCAAAAAATGCATTTACTAATAAAAAAAAGAACAAAATGAATGAAGTATCAAGTTTTACGAAAGCTTGTGCTTGTGTATTTTTCACAGTGTTAAAGTTTAAAGGTCATGTAGCTAAGTGTTTCCTGACCGAGACTCAAATTCTATCCCAAACCTTCTAATTAAGATTGAAGGCTATATCCCATTATTCACAACAAAGGCCTG